GATAAGGGTGGCTATTGATATTGTCTGGGCGGAGCGATAAGGGTGGCTATAGGAGTGATAAGGGTGGCAATAGGAGCGATAAGGGTGGCCATTGTCAGGGGCGATATGTGATGATGTGGGGTTGTGGGGTTGATAATTTTCATGTGATGTTGTTATTTTCTTGTGTTTACTTTTATACCTTGTGCAATTTATCTTGTTATTGGTAAATTGATAACAATCTGATTTATGTTGAAATTGATAGTCTGTGGCTAATACCAGTCAGATTATAAATTGAAATGTGGGCACGAGGTACCGTGAGTAAATAATAAGGATATTTGGCACGTGAATTGTCCGAGCAGTTGTGATATGAAATGTGGGCACGAGGTACTGTGATGAAATGATGATGATAATTGGAACGTGAATTGTCCGTGCAGTTGTGATATGATTTAATTATGGGCATGAGGTACCGTGAAAATATAAAAATGGGCTGAGACCCGTATTTACGAAAAATATGAAAATGGGATGATACCCATATTTTTTATGATTATGAAATGAGGTGTCACATGGTGACTTTTTAATTGAAAGAATTATATTCAAAATATTTATTTGGAAGGATTTTTACTTAGAAAGTATTATATGAAAGAATTGTATTTGAAAGATATTTATTTGAGGGAATTGTATTTGAAAAGATTTATTGAAAGAATTATATTTGAAAAATAATTATTTGAGAAAATTATATTTGAAAGAGAATTATTTGGAAGAATTATATGTGAAAGACATTTATTTGAAGGACTTGATTTAATTGGGTGTAATTGTACTTATTAATTGTTGAGCGATATTAATGGTATTCTTGTTGTCTGATGTGCATATCACTGGTTGTTTCATGTTGCCCTGTTGTTATTTGTTTCCTATTATCTTGTATATTATATTGCACAAGTTATTAGACTAGGGAGTGTCTTGACTGTACCTCGTCTCTACTCCATTGAGGTTAGTCTTGACACTTACTGGGTACCGACTGTGGCGTACTCATACTACACTTCTGCACATTTTTTTGCAGAGCCAAGTATTGAAGATAACGGACTTGAGCAGAGTTAAAGCGGGATCGTAAGGATTTAAGGTAGAGCTGTTTGGTCGTCGCAGTCCCTTGGAGTCTTTTTATTTCATTGTACTGTTAACTTATAATCAAACAGTATTGTATATTCGATCCTCGTAATCATTCCATGTANACTGATTGCATTTGCTGTCAAATGTAAGAAACATTTATATTCTATTTTAAGAAAGAAAGGTCCATTAGATTTTCAAAAAGGTGAAAATATATTAAAAATAGCACGCAATATTAGACAGGAAATATAAATTAAATGGGGTATGGCTACAGCCTACAGGTTGCTTCTCTCTTTTTCTGCTCATCTTTTGTTTAAGATGCAATTAATGCTTAAATACAATATTACTTTGTTGACAAGGTGGACATAATCTTATAGATCTTTGTTGCACATGGCTTGCGAGAAGCTCTCCAAAGGGTGAGGGGAGAACATTATCAACAGATAAAGAATTGAACTGTATCCCATGTGTGTTTGGTACAATATGTTAACTATTTTTATAACCAATCCAACGCTTGCAAATGATCCAGAAAATGCTTTTATGATGCAAAGCACAATCCGCAGAATACATTTTTTTGAGGAAAATGTTTTTCACCCAACAAAATACACAAGGAAAATGATGTTTTTGCACTATATATATTATTCTATTATCTGACTTATTTTAGTTCCGAATGTAGATGAATTGCAATTGATTTCTCCTTTTTATTTGAAGAATTAGCATCATAATTTGCAGCAGGGTTGATAATTCACCTGCATGTCTGTTACTTAAAGACAAGCTGTATCGACCTTAATTATAGGGGACTTTTAGTTTTTTCGTATATTATAAAGTACTTGTTCTGCCACTTGTTAACGATTAGTTTGTTTCTCTGTTAGTTTTATTATGATTGTTAAATAATACATATCTGATAATTTTTTTAAAAAGTACAAAAGAACCTTGATGATTATATACTCGTTTCAAGTAATAATTGTTTTATACTTGATGATTCAATGTTGGAAATTGTAAAGTTATTTTAGCAATATATATAATTTTGTCAGAACACAGCATGTGCAATAAAGCAAAACAATTCCATGATTAATTATAATAAGTTTTAAAATTGCAGAAGTGAAGTGGAAGCCTACACTTTCATGGGAACATGTGGAAGCTCCAAACTATGAAGTGTTAGACAGAGTATTCCTAACAAGTAACAACTAATTAGAACTAAACAAAATTACAGCAGTGTAAATCCTCCCGATCGAGAGATACATCATTGAATGAGATACTCCATAATTTTCTTAAAATGCAAATTAGAGCAAATATATTTTAATTAAAACTTTTGACTTTTGTAATTTGTAATAGAGGAAAGGTTTCTAATTAACAACCAATGCTTTAAGGGATCAGCTTGAAGAAATGTTTTAATTCACACTACAACAAATTTTGGCCTAAGACCACACTAATTTTAGACAACGCTCGGAAAACGTTGCCAATAATATCTATGGGAACGCTTTATAAGTGTAAACCTTTATTTTGATCTTTTGTCCACGGAAGTTTAAGCTAAGTTTCTAAAGTGTACTTTCTAAAGGTGAAGAAAACGCGTTTTAAGTATTGCCAAATCATAAAATATTTGGCAACACTTATTCACTTATATACCATGCTTTTAAAGCATGCTATCTTTTTAATCACAAAAATAACACTTAATAAGTGTGCTAAAAAATAAAGGAAACAATTTCATCAAAAATTTTCCTTCATTAGTTCTTTCAGTGAAAATTTTCCCTATTTTGAAAGGGCATAAGAAAGAACCGTGGAAATCTCCACCCTTTCTATAGACCCGTCAAAATCTCCATCTCCACCACTAAGTCGCTCGGTTCTACAGGTACCAAATCCAGCACCCCTGAAATTTTCTTCTCCATTGATCCAACACCTGCATCTAAGAAAGAGAAATTTTCAGCATTCAAAAGGTATAATTTGTTAATTAGAAATTATTTTATTTCTTTACATGTTCCTCTACAGCTTAAATCCCTTTGATTCTTATGGGTTTTAACTAAAATTTATCTTTATTAGGCTTTGTGGCTTCGATTGTTCTTTGTATTAGGGTTTTCAACTGGTAAATCAACTAATTATTTCATGAGTGGAATTTTTTTTAATTCACATTCCCCTAATTGAAGCCCAATTCACGTCACCTAGAAGATTGAAGTACGTTACCCTTCCCTGTAATTTTAAGCTTCTTCAAGAAGCAAAAGGGAATTTCTTGCATTTTCTTCTTGGGTTGTGTTGTTAAAGGTCACCTGGTACATAAAGGTTAATGGGTTTCTCTTATTTTCCATTTTTTCTCAATTGGGTTTCTTAAAGTTTCTATCTTTTGACGTTCTTGATCCAAATTTGCATCCATGATAATTTCCTTCGCTTATTGCTGCATTGTTTATATAGAAAGTGAGTTTCTTTCTCTTGTTATGTGTTTTTCTCAATTTGGTTTCTTAATATTAATCCCAATTTGTATCAATTGATCATTTATTTTACTTATGGTTGCGTTGTTTATGCAATCTTCTCTATTTCCATTAGTTACAGAAAGCGAGTTATACAATTTTTCTAAATTGGATTTCTTAAAGTTTGTACCTTTTTGAATTTTTGACCCAAATTTGCATCAATTGATTATTTGTTCGTTATCAAGGGAAAAATAGGTGAGATTTCGAGAAAATAAATTGGGCATAACTTTGTTTGATCAACTATTCTTCACTCTCTCCAGGAGGAGAAGAGATGATGCTACTACATAATTATTTAATAAAATTACAACTTATGTTGTGTGTTTATATAGGTTTTCTTCTTTAGAGAGTATCAAATTTTAGGCTAGGAGCTGTATTCTGAGTTTGTTCGACTAGTTATCTGCTAATTGAATGTCTTTAATTCACATAGCCAGATAAATAAGATGCTCTTATATGGGCATTGAAAGGTTAGTCATTGACATTTTGCGTTTCTACATTTTCTGCACAGCGTTTCAGAAATTTCTACATTTCTGGACTGTTTTTTTTGCGTTTCTGCTAAGTTTTCTGCATTTCTGCACAGCGTTTTGGCAATTTCTGCATTTCTGCACAATAGTTTTGCGTTTCTGCACAGTTTTTCTGCATTTTCTCCATCTCTGCACAGCGTTTTGGAATTTTCTGCATTTATGGACAATGGTTTTTGCGTTTCTACGAAGTTTTTCGGCATTTCTGCACAGCATTTCGGTAATTTTTGCATTTCTGCATAGTGTGTTTGCATTTCTGCACAGCGTTTCGGCATTTCTGCGTAGTATTTCTGCAGTTCTGCATTTTCTTAACAGTGTATTTTCTGCACATTATTTCTGGGTTTCTGCACTGCGTTTCGGAAACTGCTGCATTTCTGGACAATATTTTTTGCGTTTCTGCACAGTTTTTCTGCATTTTCTATATTTCTGCACATCATTTCGGCAATTTCTGTATTTCTGCACAGTGTTTTTGCATTTATGCATAGTGTTTCTACATTTCTACAAATTATTTATGGATTTCTGCACAGTGTTCTTCATTTACGCATGGCGTTCCGGCAATTTCTGCGTTTCTGCTGCATTTCTGAATTTTTTGCTTTCTGCAGTGTTTCTGCATTCCTGTGCTGCGTTGCTATAGTTTCTGCATTTTTGCATAGCGGTTCTTTATTTCTGCAGTGTTTTTGCATATCTTCAGAACGTTTCTGCATTTCTACACATTGTTTCGGCATCTTTTGCTTTCTGTATTTCGGTATTTTCTAATTAATGTTTTTCCTCTTTATGAGAATGTTTTCAGGAGCAAAGAAAAAGGGTTTGAATCCAAATAAAGCTCAAAGTCCTATGAAGAAGATAAGCTTTGATTTTCAGTTTCGATCAAGTGCTGAATTGGCCAAGTAATTTCAGATTAAGAAAGAAAAACCAGCTCATGATAAGGAGTATAGAGTTGTGAAAGAGCAAGCACCACTAGCTCATAAATGGAAGCATCTTATGCCCACAATATCAAATGCAAGAGAAGGACAGAGTAGATAAAGGTTAACTCAATCTAAGGAGTCCTTTCAACAACAAGGAAATGGTAAATTACCTATGCACAAATCTATGATGCAGTTGTCTTCCAAGGAAGTTCTTAACACTTCACATATGATTGGAAGAAGACAAGGAGAAGGAGAAATTTGCAAAAAAATGAAGAGGAAGTCGGTCTTATCGGCGACGAGTCTCGATCATTTTCTAGAAATTTGGTGCTAGGCCATGTGCAAATTAAATTATGAAAACAGGAAAAAATAAAATTGGAGGCATCGGATGAGACCTATTAATTTTGCAAGAGTGTGCGTGGCATCAGTAATATTTATTTGATACTTTGTAAAAAATATGACTTTCATTTCATTACATATTTTTTTAGAATACCTTGATGTTTGTTAGGGGTAAGGTCTACTCCTAACAAAGAGAACAACCTCTCTACTCCTCGGGGTAGGGGTAAGGTCTGCGTACACACTACCCTCCCCAGATCCCACTAGTAGAATTTTACTCGGTCGCCGTTGTTATTGTTGTTGTTGTTGTTATTGTTATATTGATGTTTGTTATTTATTTCTTCTAATATACTTTGTAGCGTACAAGTAAAGAGAACAACGAGGAACCATCAAAGTCTGAAATACTTATTGCAACTCATACAAAGCAAGGGAAGCAAGTTCATGAAGATGCTCAAATTGCAATAGTAAGCCATGTTGCAGCTAATATATTATGTGGGACTTAGATTCTTTATATGTAAAGTTTGTTCTCATAAATATTTCTTTGTGGTAGTCTGAACTTCAGAACCGTTAAAACTCTAGGGATACATCGGAGAAGCATTTAGTGCAGTGTTTGGAAGGGAGCAGCCTCGTCGAATATAGTGGTATGGTAGATCAGTGACAACAAGTTCTTTGAAAAAATATGAGGAAATCAGCAAGCTCCAACAAAAGCATAACAATGAAGTCTCTACTTTGAAAGAAGAAAAGCAGGAAATGAGAGAAGAAATGCAAGAATTGAGGCAATTACGTCATTGCTTCAATCTATTGGTGCAAAATAATCCTGGACTAAATGTTCAAGATATACTAGCATTTGTTGGATCTAACCAACTTTCTCCGGTTGATGCAAGTAGCACACTCTTCTGGATCAACCCATGGTCCAATTCATGAAAATGTATTTAGACTCCACATTTCCACCAAACTTAAATGCTTTCTGCTTTGTATTCAGTTTATTGTCGAAATTTTTAGTCTTGAATTAGGTGATGTAGATCTTAGAGTCATTTTAGCCACTATAGAAAGATTAGCCACTAAATGTGGCGAGTTTCAACTTATTGTTGTCTTTGCTCTATTGTCCTTCGAGACGTCTGTTAACGGCCAGTTTGCAAGACGACCTGCAGATGAGAGTGGACTTTTGGTTGCCTGGTTCTTTCCTAACACCATATCTAAGAAACTAAATTATTTACCCTATGTTGATTAGGACAAGATAAGTTGAGTAGTAGTGTATCTTCTTTTGTCAACAAAATTATGTTTTCACTGTTCGTACTTTGAAAATAGGATCTAAAGGTTAAGAAATAATACTTCCACATAACATGCAACTATGTGGATCAGCTTTTGAGCACACTCATCAAAAGTCACATAAAGGATCAAAGTAAAACCAAATGTCGACTTCTTCTCTTCCTAAGCTTTTATAAAGTGAACTTGTAAATATAAGTTTTCATGTATTGCATGGTTACTCATTGTTCAATATTTATTTATATGTGACTGAAAAATTTACAAAACATGGTGTTACTATATATTATCCTAGTCTTTGTTCTTCTTAACGAACGATTAAAGTTTAGTTTCTATATGATTATAATTTCTTTTTATGTGTAGGAGAATATGGGTGATGCAATTCAAAATGGTGGCAGAAAGTCAATTTGATCTTAATGTGAATGCGAAGAATTTTTGTATAATTAGGATGTCTAATATTCATGATACTATACGAATATATTCACTTTTGTAAAGTTTATTGTTAATGGGCATTTTGACTCATTGTTTTATTAGTAAGTGTATTCATTTGAATTTTATTTTAGTACTTATTAGCTAATTTAGTTCTTTATATTATCAAAATATATGATAATAATGCACATGCTTGAAATAACTGTGATCACACGATATATGCAAAATATAATTTTAAAAAAAAATTAAAATATAAATTGTATACCCTAGCCAAAATTACGCTTTAAAAGTGTGGCCATATATAAGCAAAGACTATGCTTTGTAAATGTTCCTTTAGAAGCCACGGTTAACAAGTGTGGCCTATAAGGTAACAAATACCATGCTTTTTAGAGTGTAGCTGTAAGTAGCGGTGGCAAAATGGTTAAAAAAAATAGTTAGCCACATATATTATCCACTAAAAAATGGGTTGAATAATAAACTTTTTAAAAATAGGTCAAATATGGATAAGAACCATATTATCCATTTAGAAAATGGATAACCAATGAGTTTAACTTTTACATTTGTAAAGTCTCAAATGGGGGTTCCTCAAGTTTGGGAAACTAGGAATTCTCCCAAAAGTGATCATATTCAAGAAGTGATGGATAATATGGTTACCCATATTATCCACCGGTTAACCCTTTTTTATCCGTATTAAATATGGGTCGGGTCGGATAATTTATCCATTTTTTCAGTACCCGTTTTCAATCCGATCCATATCCGACCCGACCCGCCCGTTTGTCACTCCTAGCTGCAAGTAAGGCTGTCCAACGGGACGGACCGTCCCGTCCCGTATCCTGTCTCGTTCTGTCCCTGACCACTTAAATCTAAATGGGATAGGCTCACGTTAAACGGTACACGAAATGGGACGGGATGCCCATTTCGGCCCGTTTATCCCGTCTCGTTTAACCCGTTTCCGTCCCGTCCCGCCTGTCCCATGTGTTTTTTTAAAATTTTTTTATTGTAATATAGCCGTTGGGCAACGACCTCCATTGCAAATTTAGTGCTTAATTTTTGTGTTTACTTTACTGGTTCTATTTTCGTATTTCATTTGTGTGTTTAATTTTTGTGTTAACTTTTTTAATTTAATTTTGTATTTTATTTGTGTGTTTAATTTTTTTGTTAACTTTTTTAATTTAATTTTATATTTAAATTATGGCACCTAAAAATGTATTTGGCCTATTTACAAAAAGTAGTAAAGGTGATAGTAGTAGTAATCCTAATCCTAATCCTAATCCTAATCCTTTTCCAAGAATTAGAAAACATATAGATAAAATGACTCATGTTAATGAAACTTCATTTTTCCAACCCCCTGCATGTTATAATATTAATTTCGGAGAACAACTAGATCATGAAACTTTACAAACACAATTTGACAATGATATTTTTATTGAGGATGAAGAAAATGAGGAAGAAGAATTAGATAAAATACCCACTAGTCCCGCAACACAAGCTCCAACTCAGAGTAAATCTCAGTCTGGAGCTTTACCCCCGGCACCTCCTGTAAGGGGCAAGCCTAAGGGTGAACGTGCCAAAAATATCACTTGTATGAAATTTTTTTAAACATGATAAAGTCAATCAACGTGCAATATGTGAAAAATATAAGCAACGATTCGTACACAAGACAAGTGGTGGGGCAGGGGGTTTAGCCAGGCACTTACTTAAGGAGCACAATTCTTTATGGATGCAAGCTCAAATAGAAGCCGGAAAAATTACATATCCTAGCACCGGTACTGGCGCTCCTAGTGGATCTGGCGGGGGTTCTAACTTTTTACAACAACAGACAACGTCCGAGAGAAATTATAGATAAGTTACAACGAAGCTATATAGGAGCTTACAAATATTAGTATGATAATTTGTAATTAGCTACTAAGAGGCCTAGATCAAATAGAACCCTTCCTAGAAGGTGGCTGCGTAGATTAGGTGCTTTTCAAAAGAATTATATTTGTATGTGAAATTTGAAACTTCTATTAATAAAATAAAAGGCTTTAAGCCTTGAATTATTTTTATGAATTGTCTTACACTCTTACTTAGTTACTTAATGGCTTGAAATTATATTAAATAAATTACAACTCTATTATAATTACTAAAATATTTTATTACAAGTATTTTTTTTAATATTTTATAATTCTTTACCTAGTTTCCTAATTTTCTTATAATTTATTAAGTTTTAAGTTTATTAAATAAGTCAAAAAACTAGTCGTTACCAAACTTAATGGTTAAATAAATATATTTTTTTTTAAATCAGCCCACTTAAGGCCCGCGAAACCGTCCCGTCCCATCTCGTTTGTTAGCGGGATGGGATGGGCCTACCGTTTCGTCCCGTTTAGGCCCGTCCCGTCACCGTCCCGACTAAATATCGTCCCTTCCCGTTGGACAGCTTAGCTGTAAGGTATAAAAATATTGCATATGGGGTGTAGTAAGCGTTGTCTTTGTTATCAAATAAGCCACGCTTTTAAGCGTGGCTTGTAAGGCAATAGTTAAAAAACGTGCCCTTAGGTCAAAGATTACATTTGTTTTGGCCACCCCAATAAAACTAAAATGTTGTAGTGTCAAAAAATTTAAAAACGTTATTCTAATACTAAAACACTAAATATATACCCTTCCAAATATAGTTATATTAACATCTGGAGGTTCCAACCATGACAAACCGATTTAGCTTTGGCTATGGAATTTATCACATTTATTTTCCTTTTTCTTGTTACATTTACTGATGATGAGGTGGACGACGAAGACGATGGCTCGGGTGAGCGTGTACGACTACGCCTCGCTGTAACTCTGGCCGGCTTAGGCATGTTTGAGCCAATTAAGTGAGGAAAATTGAGCCGAGCTCTCGAGCCGCGGATTTTGAAAGCGGAGCCAATGCTGCATCCTCAGGAGTCTCATAAGTTCCTAACCACAGTCTTGCCCCTCTCCTATCGGGGTCTCTCATCTCCGCTGAAAACGTCCCCCATGGCCGCCGTTTCACTACTATGTACCGCCTCCAATCTTGCGGCGCGTTCTTCTCACGCGCCTCCACATTCCCCTTCGTTTCCTCCTCGGACTCGCACTTTTCTTCGAGATTTGGTATTGTTTCCTCAAAGTTTTCATCCCAAAAGGAGGTTTCGAAGCTATTTTCTGCTGAAGGGGAGATGCCAAAACTTGAGCTAGGACTGTTAGGCAATGCGTTACTTGAACTCATTGGCGAAAGAATTTCAGAAAAATCTGAATCATTTAGAAGATGTTGCTTTATGGATTCAAGGAGATTAAAATCAGAGAAAGAGAAGGTTACGTCTGCTGGATTCATTTTCTTTTCTCTAGAGTTTTGAAATAAATGTTTCTTGCACTTTCTCTAATTACTAGGGTTTATTAATTCTGGATGAATGGAACGGTTGATACTGTACGTCTATTTATACGCTTGGCCTATAACTGTAACTCTGGTCCCCTACCTTCATTATCTTTTTTCTGGAATTTCTATGAAGGTGCCATTTTAAGCACATGTATGTTATGCTTTTTAGTTTTTATTATCCTAACATTTGACGAGGAATAAAATAATGTACTGATCTTCAATTTCAAGAAATGATATACAGTATATTCCTTCTTGAGATATGGAAAATGTTTGCGCAAGGTCACATTCATTTCAGAAAATTTCAGAATCATTTGAGATCAGTAATTTAAAACAGAGGTATATATTTATTTGTAGAACAAACCTAGTATATGTGTAGCTTTTTCTCAAAACCCTTTTTGGTTTTCTGATAACATGAGCTGTCAAATTTTAGAAGCATTTAATTTTCCATTTCAAGAAAGAAAGGTCCAGAACATTTTCTCAATGTGAACTCGTGAGGATATAGTACTAGCACACGATATTACACAGGAAATAAAAATCAAAATTAAAGAGGTGTGGCTACTTATGTCTTTTACGGCTCATCTTTCGTTAAAGATGTATTTAATGCTTAAATACATTTTTACTATGGATTCTTCTCTTTATAATTTGTTTACTGGGACAACCTTTAGAATATCAGCAAATTCATGATTATATTTCAAGGCCTATTTGATTTCTCATTTTCGTTTCAGTTGGTGGAGCATCATATATAACAACAAAGTGTAGCAGCTGGATAGATAATTCACTTAAATATCTGTTAATTAAAGACGAGCTGCATCGACTTTAATTTTATATGGGGGAGCTTTGACACTTTTTGCGAATATCCTAAAACTTGTTCAGCAACTTCTTTAACAATTAGTACCTCCCTGGCTTTATGATTGTTAGAAAAACACATCCGATAATTTAAAAGAGTACAAAAGGAACCTTGAATATTTTTTTTTTCTTAAATTTCCCCATTGACCGGGAGTGTTGTCTTAATCAAAATATAGTTTTCAATAGTACAACACAAGGGTAAAGGTTACCCTTCAAAAAGATATGGCTAGGTGATAATATAATACTGATTCACCTGCCACTACCCAAAGAAAACATCCTAGC